AACAATATAACCAAATAACATCTCAAAATTAAATGATATGACAAATTCGGAAAGATAAATTAACATCTCAAAATTAAATGATACGAAAAACTCAAAAATATAACTTAAATGTAATCAAAGTGAACTAAAATCCATCAATACAATCCAATAACATTGTAATCAAAGTGAACTAAAATCCATCAATACAATCCAATAACATTGTAATCAAAGTGAACTAAAATCCATCAATACAATCCAATAACAACTCAAAATGAAATGATACGAAAAAATCAAAAAGATAGCTTAAATGTAATCACGCTTCGGACAATTCCGAGAATCATGTGTAGCCATCTGACCACATAGTTGACACTTTCTCTTCTGCTTTTTTCCGTTTGAAATTCCTTTCTCTGCAGCGCTAATAAGTCTCTTACCAGTTCCACAACCTTTGTTTCGAATACCCATGGGAGGAAGAACATCAACAGTTTCGGGTTGAGATACTCCAAGAAACTCTTTAATAGACGATGTGGTCTCTTCAGTGTGTGACTGTAAAGGAAGTTCAATGTCAACCTTTGAATCCCATTGTTCGAGTTGGTCAACAAATCTTGACAAAATGTCTTTTTCATTTCGGACTCTACCTAAGATACGTTCAAAATATGAATAAGCCAAACTCATCAATCTCTCTTTCTCTGCATCAACTTCACCATATCTGAAACGTGCTGGTAACCACTCCACGGGAACTAGATCGCGTCGCCAACGACGAAGTATATATTTATCGGGAATTCTGTCAACCTCGTCATTTAACATCACCTTGAGAGCGTGACGACATAAAATCCCATTACGAACAAAAAAATTGCAACTGCAATCGTAAGAGTTTTCCTTCTTGTTTTTAATCACCTATTATATGGGAGGAGGTTTCATCATATTGTTCGTTAAAATAATATTGTACAATAAGGGGTGCAAAACGAAATTGGACAAAGTAAATACCGTGTACTTTGTTGTGACCTTCGAAGCCTTGTTCTTGTGAGTAATGGTGTACACTCTGGTTTCACCAACGTCGGTGAATCCATCCCAGCTACAAAGCCAAACAGCCTTTCTTAACTCTTTCTGAATTTCGAAAAATATCGTCCGTGTATACACCTCTGCTGCATGAACTTCTAACTTGCAAGGGGACACCAATCGAGGAATCGTGCTCTTGGTTGTCACCTCTACCGACCCATGTGTTGCCCGTTGACTTTCAATTGCATTATCAAAAGAACGGAGGAAAACAACAAGATCATGCCAAAAATGTGCATAAACGTTAAAAAACGCATTGATGCTCTCTGACCTGGATGTTGTTTTCATTAGGCCTGACATATGATAATCCTTATAGTAAGCCGGAATCCACGACTCCCTAATATTGTACAATTCATCAAACCATGGATCTCCACTTAATCCATTAAAATTGATCAGATTGTTCCATTGCATCTCAAATTCATTAAGACCAAGGTAAACGTTCCACACCAACTTATTAAATTCGCTAACGAACTGCGTAAGGTGTTGGAGGTAATTACTAATCTGCGAAGTAACCCATCAAAACAATTGCATAAAAAATGAAAATGAATAAAAAAATTACTACAAAAACTATCATCTTAATTACCTTCGATTTCACCTTTTTAATGATATGTCACATACACAATCGATGCATGGATTCAGGAAATGCAATGGGAATTGCTTGTTTCATCGACGCACATTGGTCGGTGATAACGAAACGTGGTTGACGTCCGTGTGCTTTTACAAACGCTTTTAATACTCATGTGTAATCAACTACAGATTCATTATGAATAAATGCAACTCCAACAACAACGGATTTCTTATGATTGTCAATTGCAACGAACGGAACAAATATCATAGCATGCCTATCAAAAATAAACAATGAAAATTAATAGAAGGTACAAGATAGAGTATTAATAAAACCAACATAATATTTTAATATCAAGTACAACTTACTTGTTGGTCCTAAACGTTGCATCAAATGATATTGCATCGCCAAATTTCCTATAATTTGATCGTGCAGTCTCATCAGCCCAAAAAATTGCTAACAACTCCTTGTCATCACACTTGTACTCGAAAAAAAACTCAGGACAAACCTTCCTCCTATTAGCCATCACATTTAATAACATTTGTGAGTCTTTATTGCCAACAAAATATGCCATATCGCCTTTGAAGTTTTGATGATCTCTTACAGTGCCACCCGATTAATCTACACCACCCTTAACGGCTTTCATGAATCTATGAGATTTGGTGACGCCAACCTTGGAACTAGAACCATGAAATACATTCTTATGATCAGCGTAGTGGAGTTGCCTTTTGGAACGGGAAAACCTCATCTCCTCTTTATTAAAAAGGATGTGATTGTGCTACTCAACGAACTTGTAAACTTCGTATTGGTTCGGTTCTTTAACAAGGTGAATTTTTAAACATGCTCCACAACCGGAACGCTTGATATTTGAATTTCGGATTGTACGACCACCTGGAATAACATCTAAGGAATCAAAATACTTACTTTGTGGCCTCCCTTCCTTACTACACACATAAAATCGAGACATGATACGACTAAGCTTATTTATCTTCTTGTTAGATAAACGTACATCAAACCCAGCTTCATTGGCATATTTCCGATACATTTTCTCAGCCGATTCTACAGACTCAAAAAAATCACCAACCTTAGGTTTATATTTTACATCTACACTAGGAAACCAATATTTTGACCCATCAGACGTTTCCCCCATGTCTTGATATCGATAATCTACAACAATAACCAAAATGAATCTTATATTAATGCAATTGTATCGTAAAGCCGCTTTTAGATTCAAAACAGTAACACAACAACATGATTGTAACTTGATGAATATGTCGGCAAAAGACATAATGTAGGTAATAAGACATAATGTAGGTAATCATACTTTGACATACTGACATATAGCGTATACATGAAATTATTCGCTAATGAATCTAATTTCATTGATTACATTTTAAAGATGATGATGATGATTATGATAGCTTACTATGTTAATTGTTACTTGCAAAAACATTCATCCATTAATCCTCATGCACACCATAACATGACAGTCAAGGAGCTCACCGTTAACTCCTCTCGAACCGACTGGATCGTGTGCTTGTGCGAGGTGGTCTTGGGTGAACGGTTAGCCATATTAGAAAGGTGTGGTCATGGGTATCATGTTGAGTGCCTAGAAGCATGGTTCAAAGAGCGTACAAACTGCCCACTCCGTATAACCCCTGTCTCTCTCTCTTGTTACATTGTTGCATTGCTGAATTATTTGTTGTTTTATACACTGATGAATCTGGTTTCATCAATATCCATTATCAGACTTTATCTGCTGACTTATTTGTTGTTTTATACACTGATGAATCCAAATCAATCGTTTACTTATTCTCTTTAAATGGAGGGATTAGAATGCTAGTCCAGCGATAAACGAACATTATGGAGTCTTTTTTGTGTTTAATTTCATCTTAGAATCATAATTTCACTTCCTTGTTAGGTGTATTTCTTGTCATACATTGTTCATTCGTTCAGAAATATAGGAGTCTTTTGTCATCTTAATTCTGAGAAATTTTGTTAAACTGTACCTCCTTCGGTTGTATTTGAAATCAGTGCTGAAACCAGATTCAGCAGGTTCTACAACCAGTTATGGTTTAATCTATAAAGAGCTACTCCCGAAGCAAACAAAGAATAACAAAGCCTATAATGAAACCAGATGCATCTTCGTTTCATCAAATACACAAGCACGAGCATGTACATTCTGCAATGAACCCATATGCAATACAAGAGTATGAACAAGTTCTTTCAACATTTGATAAAAGTGCAGACTATGGTGTTCATTGATCATTTAGAATGCTATGACATCAATCAACAAACTCTGGATTATCTCTTGGGTTTCATTACATGTTTCCAGTTCTTACAACAGTTACGATAACAAAACAGTACCTTCATTTTCATTACTCAAGGACGCAACATCATCATCGTCAAACTCTGCAGAAACTCCGTCCGTAATCGAGTCACTACGCTCAGGTATTGTTTCATTTTRACGAATGCACCCATCATCATCCCTAGCTGAGTAATTGCATTTATCTTGTGTTGTACCATCATTAGTTGCAGTTGCAAATTCACGATCATGAACAACACCTTTACGTTTACCGTTAGCGCCATCGATTTCATCAAAGATATCCTTGATGAATGTCTCGTTGAAGGAGATGGGATCCATAGGAATATGATAAATTATTATTCTAAAAAATGCTTCTATCGATTCCATCCATTTTGTTAAAAGAAAAGTATTATTTAGTAAGGTTTTAATTACCATATCAGTTTCTGTTATTAATAGTAATTATATGGCTTCATAATTAATAAGATATTCATTAATATTATTTAAAAATAATAATTATTATATAAAATTAGCAAATGACAATATTAATCTTTTTATTTAAAAAATAAATTAAAAAAATAGAATTCAATGATTGGTTAAAAGGGAGGTTGCAAGGGTTGTACAAATAGGGGAGGTTGTAAAAGAAATATACCTTATATATATATATATGTATGTATGTATGTATGTGTGTGTATGTATGTAGTGTTATATTCACAAAATTTTTGAGAATATGAAAAGAAATCTCAACCACTATATTAAAACTTTGATTTCCATGACATTTTCCACTAATTGAGATAAATGTGGAAAATATCCTAATTTATCTCATATATTTCATAACTTTTGTGGATAGTGATAATAATTGAGTTTTGACCTAGCTTTCCACTATATAATATATAAATCGAATTAAATCTCATCTGTAAATATAAAAATCGATGTTTTTCATTGGTCATTTGAAACGTAACCAGACGCAAAATATCTCATCAAATCGTTATCAAACAGTGATAATTATGTGTATATTGGTTCCTATGTAAACATGTGAATCTTAATATAGATTCATATGTAAATCTTAGTCATAACTTTAATCAATATTATGATTTGATTTAAGATTCATACATGAATATAGGAATCAGATTACAACTTAATTATAGTTAAGATTATGAATTAGTTTAAAAT